ATTATTTTAATAACTTAAAATAATTCCTTTTCAAGATAATTCCTTTTTAAAAATAATTTATTTATTCCTCGTTAATCATTCAAAAATAATTTCTATTTCAAATTAAATTCTTTAAAATATTTATTATTATTATTCTAAAATGATTCTTTTTTTAAAATAAATTCTTTTAAAAAATATTATAAACTCACCTAAAATGATTTTGTTATCAAAATAAATTCTTTTAATTTATCATAATTATTCTGAAATACTATTTGTCATATAACTATGATTTAAATCAATATTATTCTTCAAACAACCCACGCAAATAATTATATTACAACTAATAAACACATATAATTAATAATTATTTAAATAATAAGGAGATGCAGGATCTTGCCTGGGGTACGTCGTCAACTGTAGCGGGGGTCGTCGGGGTGGTTACATGACGTTACGACGGGTTTCGTAGAAACAACGAGTAAAATTACAACTTAGAGTGTTATTACGGCGTGCGATATTCAAACGAATATAACGAGGTGTAGATAAGGAGCCCAAGTGAAAGGAATATACCATGTGAGAGACAACACGAAGGGCTACGCACCGGCGAAGGAATCGATGGAAACGGAGGTCGGAGATGGCCGGAAAACGCGCACGAAGTCTGCTCCGAACCGTAGTTTTCTACAATGAACAGATCGTTGTTCGGCTCATTGTTCGGAGCTGCCGGGGAGAGCGCTAACTCAGAAACCGTAAGCTGAGAGCGGAGGCTCTGGTGGTAGATGGCGGGGAGTAAGGATAACGGCGCGAGGGCGAGGGTCTCTGTCGCGAACAGGGGGTCGGGGCAGGAGGTTCTAGAGGGCGGTGGCCCATGGGTTTCTTTCCGCAGGGAAGAGAGAGAGAAGGAGATGGGGAAGAGAGGACTCGAGAGGGGTTCAGCGGCTGGCCGGAGGAGGAAGGCCAGAAGCGGTGAAAGCAGGGGTGAGAGAGAGAGAGTTGAGGGGATAGGGCGGGTGGTCCGTGGAGTGTGGGCGCCAGGTCGGGGTCGGGAGAGAAAGCAAGGGGGTGCGGTGTGTTTCGCAGCGGGCCAGGAAGAAGAAAAAGGCCTGCAAGATATCAATATTATAGTATATATATATATATATATATATACTATATATCATATAGATATATATATTAATACTTTATATATAGATATAGTAATATATATATATATATATATATATATATTCTTGGAAAAGTGAATGCTAAGGTTGACACCCAGCTCCCACCCTAGGACGGGGCGGCACTAAAATCAACAGTCATTTCTAATAATTTTTTTATTTGATCGCGCATGCCGTTGAACTTGATCTAAGTCTCCTATAAACTCAAACACATCAATTTTAGGGGTGAACCGCGTTGTGTTTTGACCATTCGTTGAGTCGTCCAAGAAAAGTGCTATTGCATATCGAAACCAGCCGTTAAAATTGCGGGCGAGTGGAGATGAAGTGGTCAAAAACACGACGGGGTTCACCCCAAAATTGTGTTGTTTGAGTTTAAGACATGTAGAGTCAAGTTTCAACGGAGCGGATGCATAAAAAAATATTAGGAATGATGTGATTTTAGGCCGCGTCGCTTAGGTGGGAGCCTGGGTGTGCACACTTAAAGATTCCACGTTTTCCATATAAATATATATATATATATATATATATATATAAGGCTAGGGCTAGGGTTTGGGTTTTGAAAAATAATTAAAAATAATATTAATTATAAAATAAATTAAATAATTATGTAAAAATTATCTACACATTAAAACGTACAAGTTGTACTAATTCAACCGTTAATATGCAATAGTAAAAATAAAACAACTGATTGTACAATTAAACGAGAATAATTAATAAAACATATAATTACTTATATTTAAAATTAAATAATTATAGGATAATTATCTACGCATTAAAACGTACAAGTTGTACTAACACAACTGATAATATGCAACAATAGAAATAATACAACTAATTGTACAATTAAACGAGAATAATTAATAAAACATATAATTACTTATATTTAAAATTAAATAATTATAGGATAATTATCTACGTAATAAAACGTACAAGTTGTACTAACACAACTGATAATATGCAATAGTAGAAATAATACAACATATTATACAAAATAATACGTAATAATAATACAACTTATTATACGAAATAATACGTATTAATAATAATAATGCAACGTATTATTTAATATGATACGTAATAGTATCGACAACACAACAGATTAATTCCAGAAATTTTCATTGCATAAAATTAATTTATAAATATTAATATCATTTAAATAAATATAAAGCTTGGATTTTAAATCATAGAAAATTGTAGAAATTCGAGAAAAATATAAATACTCTTTTAAAAATCATAATTAAATATTTTAAAATACTAAAAAATTATTTTAAATAGTATCAAAATTCATGGTCTTAACAATATCTGATCTCAAAGTGCCGTCAAAACCCTCTTTTTTGTGTTCTTCAAACCCTAAAAACATATCAAGGTATATATAGTATCCCAGCCTAAAATAGTTTTCCAAATCAATTTGGAAACTGGAAATCCTTACGTCATTTGATCGGTGCATTAGCGTCTGTCGACCGGCTAGAACGTCTGTTTCTTACAGTCTGCTCGTGCATGTTGTCGGTCGACCCGGCCGAAACTCCAGTAGTTTTCTTGAGTTCGCGTCGGTCGATCGATGAGCTTGTGTCGGTCAACCGACCAGAGCGAACTTCCTAGGCTCGATTCCTACAGGCTTTTCGGTCAACCGGTCCAAGCCTGTCGGTCGGTCGATCAGGGCTTTTCTGCTTCTTTGATGATTTCTTCTTTTGGTTTCGGTCTTCACACTTTCAAAACCAACAGAAGATAAATTTTCTTTTCCTCGCTGCCAACAAATCCTCCGTTGATCTCCACAACATCCCCCTCGACCACTAGCTTCATGCCTCTCTCACTAAATATGACTATTACTCCTTCATTACCACTGTCCCAACACCATCATCAACAACGTAGGCTAATGCGCGGCCTTGCGAAAGAGCGCCTTCAATTTGTTCGATGGAATGACTAAACGAAAGCTTAGCCTTTGATGTAAGATTAGAGCAACTTGCAATAGGTTATTGCTACAGAACGGAAACCTTTTATGTGCACTGATGAGAACCGAGTCTTTCTTGCATAGTTTAATGATGTTATGGCTTCAAGTTTTGTTGGTTGGCGGGTTTGAGAGCTCTTCAAGAAAACGGGCCCAATGACTGGTTTAAGCATGAGATTTGAGCACGGTGGAAGCGAAGCTAGAGCAGAGGGGACATAAATGAGAAAGAAAGAGGAGGTAGAGAGGGCCGTGAAGTTGCGGCACAGAGAGAGAATGAATGAAGGTAGGAGGGGAGGGTACTTGCGAATTTTAAGTTTTTATCTATCAATACAAAATACAATACTCTAGTACTTGCGAATTTTAAGTTTTTATCTATCAATACAAAATACAATACTCTAGTACACTGCATTTTAAAGATAAATCAGATTTCGTAAATTGGGCTTGTGGGGTACATGTAGAACTTGGTGGGTCTTCCAGTAAATCAGGGTAGAGCTTTGTATTTTAGCTAGGCTTCGTGTTTTGCTTCCTTATTTCATTAATGTTTGATGCGGCGTTGTACCCAACAACAGAAAGCGATGTTGGGAAAGTCTTGCATATTTTGACTTAATCCCTCATTTCATCATTAAAATTACTATCAGGTCCTTCAAATCTTAAGTTATTTTAAAATTAGTCCCTCAAATCATAGAAATTCCTATTAGATCTCTCAATTGTTGAGTTATTTCGGAATTAGTCCCTCCAATTAAGAGCATAAATAGTAATTGAAGGGATTGACAACTAAAACCTATTGTTCTGGACTATTAACATCACCCAAGTCTCATGAGTTTATCTAAAAGTAATCCCTCCAAAATAGGTGAGGGAACTCGGAGAGGGAGAGAGTGGGAAATGACGCTTATTTCAGAGAATTAAATGTGCGGTATTTTGGTAATTAATCACCTATGGTTAGTGTACACCTAACCAAGATTGAAGGTTTTGAATGATAAAACTAACAAAGGGACTAATAGTAGCATATTAGTGCTATTCAAGGGAGTGTCATCAAAATATGACGATGTCGGGACTGATATCACAACTTTGATTAATTTAGGGATTAATATCGAAATAAAACCCTTCTATTTATGGTGATAACCGGTACTTATCATAGGGCTGATGTATCTCACCTTTATGGACCAGACCTTCTATAGAAACAGCAGCCGAACACTTGCATATATGGGCCCCATAAAAAAGGAAAGGAAAATTCAAGTAAAAAAAAGCTTGAAATTGTGCAAAATTTTCATCTCCGCCCACTTTCCCGCTGCCGGTCACCTACAACTTCCAAAGCCCCCGCCTAGTTTCATCGGTCATCTGCACATCCAAAAGCTTTGGATCGATTGTGGGAGGGTTTATGGAAAGCTGCTACGCTTTTAGGCTATGTTTGGTTTGAGAGAAAGACAGAGAAAAGAAAAAGAAAGAGAAAGTAAAAGAAAGGAAAAGAAAATGATAATCTTTTAATTGTTTGGTTAGAAAGAATGTTGTAAGAAAGTCAGAAGAAAATTCATAAGAAAGTTATTCTCTCTTGTTTGGTTGTCTTTCTGAGGAAAAGAGGAAGAAAATTATCACAACATAATTTTAATTCATACTTTTTGGATATAGATTGAGATTTTAAATAATTTATAAAAAATAATTAAATTAAATTGTGATTTTGTCATATTTTCCAAAAAATTACAAGTTATTGTATATGTTTGCACAATCTTAACTCAAGAAAAATTAGCAATTTCCTAACACAAAAATTTGAGTGCCTTTCAACTTCGAGTTTGTAAATATTAACAAACAGAAGCACAATCACAATTTCACTAATTAAAAAACAACATTTCTCACACATAATATTTACAGAAAGAAATGTTAATGAAAAAACCAAAACAAATCTAAAGTAAATGTCATGATATTCCTAATATAAACTATAATCCATTTCTAGTCACAAATTCTATTACAATCAATTTCATATAGAAGATCATAACCAACAAAGTCTATTACAATCAATTTCATATAGAAGATCTTAACCAACAAAGTCTATTACAATCAATTTCATATAGAGAATCTTAACCAAAGAGAGAGAAAAATATGCCGAAGTCCTTGGATTTTAACTTTAGTGAGCCCATCAAGACATCAATCTCACATCCTTCATCCCCTGAAATTAATTCAAATAAAAATTCACTTTAGTGAGCCCATCAAGACATCAATCTCACATCCTTCATCCCCTGAAATTAATTCAAATAAAAATTCAAATAAGTAGAATATAAACATCTTCATCCCCTGAAATTAATTCAAATAAAAATTCAAATAAGTAGAATATAAACATCAAAAACCTATAAATAGGAATGCATTTCCTGTAAACTGCAAATAGGTAAAGAATCAGCATTATTGTTGATATAAGGACAAAACCATAAGGAATGCTAGATTTTGAACAATTCACTCTATCACAATTGCCAATGCCAAAGTTGCAAGATATCAATCATGTATTCATTTGTAGATCAGTTCACAATTATGCAATAAGGCCATAAACTTTCGACATAACTAAACAAGTTGAGCATCCATCCATTGGAATGGAATATGAAGAAGCCTGTCATCTTTATCAATAAGCATCACATAATAAAACATGCAATAAGGATACAGACTTGCAATATAATTGAACAAGTTGGTCATCCATCACTATGAAGAGCTTCAAACAAGTCAATCACCCGAGTCTGGTGATCTTTGTCACTAATAAAGTCACGGTGATAATACATGAATCATAATGAAAATCTACAAGTCCACTGAATAACAGAGATGTCATCAATAGGAAGGCTTTTATATTAGGCAAAGGAATGTTTCATAGCAAAATTACCTCCTAGTACCGATACCAAGATTAAGAGGGAACATGAATTTATATTGTTCATACTCAAAAGGAGAGTTACTGTTTACTAAAGTGACAAGATTTGTGAGGGAGGGGTTTGGTATAGTGTCACACTCTTAAAATCTGTATCCCAAATTCCTTGGTGGATGAGGAGGCCATTTAAGGGGAAGTTAGCTGTGAGAAATAATCAGACACAGATGCAGCTTCTCTTGGTCAGGAACTTACTATTTTTCTCAGTTCTTGACTCTTCACGGAGGAATATACGTAATATCTTCTTATTATTTTGAAAATCTATATAACTGAAAAATATAAGTATTCCAGCAGTTAGCACAGAAGAAAAGAAGCATGTGAATAGTGCAAAGAAATGTTCACTTTAACTACACTTCAACAGATTAAAAAAGTTAGCACTACTACTTCTTTCATATACGTTACCTTCCTTTAAATCAACTTGTACATTAATTCCAAGTAGCCTGTAAGGTATAGGAATTTATGATGAGAATCACCACCGACAATTTTTATTTTTTATTTTTTATTATTTTGTTTTTGGGCAAGGCATCACAGGAATATATAGAATTCATTTGTCCGAATTATACATTGAAGCCTGAAAATTTAAGGAGAACAAGGCAGCACAATCATAAATATAACCACTTGTATGGACAAATTAACAAACATGGAGTCCAAACGGTTAGCTTATTGGTAGGTTATAAACAAAACTGGGAAACTTGATATTTGGAGACATGTTATATAAGTGAAATTTCCCTAAACAACAAAAATGCCTAGGAACAGACATCTGCTGATATTAAAAATTTATAGGTACTCGCAAATGTAAGGAACTCAGAAAATTCCCAGTAGAGACTCTTCATATGCTCAAATTTGTGGACTTAAATATGGTTAGACTTAGGCAGGTACATGATAATGGTACATGAATAACATAAATCAGAGTCCTTTGAAATATGAGGGTACCAAATGACTTACATAGTTCCAACCAGAAAATTGCAGATAAACAATGTCAAATACATTAAACCATAAAATACAACTGAGCAAAAAGGGACGCAGTCGAACAAGTTTCATGAAATTTAAAAAACCAAAACATAATATTCAACGTACCTTTATGTAATGTTGCCTAGGAATAGACATCTGCTCGTAATGTGTTTGTTTTGATTTGCTAGTTATCCTTAGATGCGATAAAATCCTTTTGCAGTTAGAAAAACTTTGCAATTGTGACCTGCATTAGGGGGTGTTTGTTTGCATGCAAGTGAAAGATGAAAGTGAGAAAGTTACTTTCATTTAACAATTAAGGTGTTTGTTTTCATGTAAGTGGTTATGAAAGTGAGATGTAAGAAAGTTGTCACATAAGATTTAATGCAATTTTGACTTCCCCTAAAAAAGTGGTGAAGTCACATGAAAGTGACAAAAAGGTAACTAATTTAATTAAATGATTTTAATTATATTTTCTAATTAATCTTATTTTGCCACGTCATCTTCACATTGCACTTTCGATAATAATTTAATTTTTCAAACAAACAATGTATTTCACTTGCGTGCTGACATGGATGTAAAAGTCATTTGCAAAAAAAAAGTAACTTACATATTTTAAATTCACTTTCAGATTGCCAAACACCCCATCTGTGAAAGTTTCTTCGTAATTGATGGTCATTTTGTAACTGTCCTCATGTCCTTTTTACTACACTCAAATGATGATGTCAAGTAAAGTCAACATGTCGCAGAATCTGAGTAACCAAATTCTAGGCATCAAAGTATCAACAACTCATACAACGTGACAGTGCTTTTTGCTCGTAATGTCATAATTCACTTCTTATTGTTTGTCATTGTTCTTTTTAAGTAAAAACAATAATTGATGAGAAATATCAGATTGCAGCCATATTCTCCAATGTAGGGGAAATTAGGAATAGGCAAGATTTCACAAAATAGTAATCCAACTAAATATAGCCACTCCAAAACATAATCACGGAGACTGGAATCCTCTTTTCTTCTACAATGAATAAGACTTATAATTCCCATCCTCCAGAATTTTTAAATCAAATCCGAGACACAAAATGTTTCAAACACAACTAGAAACTGAAAATATCAGCTAAAATAACAGGAACAAGACCCCCGAAACCAACCTTAGAATAACCACAGAATTCAATGTTAGATCTAATAAAAACTTGAGATCTAAAGCATAAAGCCATGATTTAATTCAAAGAGATTAATAAGAATCAAAAGGTGCGGAAGCATATACCTGAATCCATTGAAGAAAACTTGATTAGGGTTTTGATGATCTTCTAACCTTAGGGTTTCTCTCTTATGGATCTCTTTAGATGGGGATAAGAGAATGAGAGTGGTTAACCCTAGATTAGGGACCATAACCCCTTATATATAGGTGTTGTACATTTGTAATTTGGCCCCTCATCAAATTACAATTACAACCTGGTATCTGCACATATAACCCCCATGATTTATTTAAATACCTATTAACCCAAATTGATTGATCACTTTAAGTGGGTTATCCTTAAAGATAGTAATACACATTGATTAATCATATGTGCCCACAAATAGATTTAATTAGATTTAAATCCAACAATCTCCCACTTGGGCACCATATGATTCATTAAATTGTGTATAACCTTATGAGCTCAAAATTGCTATCATTAAAAAGATATTTCCAAACAATCTCGTCCATTGACTATATCAATATAGGATCAAAGCGGCCTTTGTCACATTTATCGTGACTCGACCCATCAATGGTCACATATACCAATACAATCAAACGACATAGATCAATCATGGATGTGCAGCATGAAAATTACATGCAATGTGATCTGTACATGTCTATTTTCAACTGGTCCTCCTTTAGTGAGGTCAAAATCAAACATAATGTAACAGAGTGTCTTAACTGAATACTTTATTCTGATCAGACAATACAACCAAACATAAAGCACCACAATTACAAACTCCCACTAAAACATAATATCCTCAAATAATACCACACCCATATGAGTAGTATGCTCATGAAAGACCTTGGATGGCAATCCTTTAGTAAGAGGATCTGCTATCATGGAGTTTGTCCCAATGTGCTCTATAGATAGCTGTCCACTCTATACCCTTTCTTTTACAACCAGGAACTTAATATCAATATGTTTTGATTTAGTTGAGATCCTGTTGTTATTGGAATACATAACTACAGATTTATTGTCACAAAATAACCTCAGTGGTCTTTCAATATTTTCCAAAATGCGCAGTCCAGTGACAAAATTTCACAACCATATTCCATGATTTGATGCCTCATAGCAAGCTACAAACTCTGCTGCCATAGTGGAGGAAGCTACGAGTGTCTGTTTTATACTTTTTCATGATATAGCTCCTCCTGCTAGCATATAAATGTAACCTGATGTAGACTTTCTGCTATCTTGGCATCCAGCAAAATCAGAGTCCGAATACCCAATGACCTCCAACTGTAGACTTTCTGCTATCTTGGCATCCAGCAAAATCAGAGTCCGAATACCCAATGACCTCCAACTGTTCCGATTTTCTATATGTAAGCATATAATCTTTTGTTTTCTAAAGATACCTCATAACCCTTTTGACTGCTATCCAATGATCCATACCAGGATTGCTTAAGTATCTGCCTAACATCCCAACAATGTACGCAATATCTGGACGCGTACATACCTGAGCATACATTAAACTTCCTACAGCCGAAGCATAAGGAATCTTCTGCATTTCCTGAATTTCAAGGTTGCCTTTAGGGTACTGATTTAGACTAAACTTGTCTCCTTTAGCAACAGGGGTATCTCCTAGTCTGTAGTCTTGCATGCCAAACCTTTTAAGTACCTTATCGATATAGCTCTTTTGTGATAATCCAAGAATACCCCGAGAGCGATCTCAATATATCTGGATTCCTAATATAAAAGAGGCGTCCCCAAGATCTTTCATCTCAAAATTCTTTGATAGAAATCTCTTGGTTTCGTGCAACATGCCTATATCATTAGTGGCAAGCAAGATGTCATCCACATACAGAACCAGAAAAATATACTTACTCCCACTGAACTTGTGATATACACAGTCATCAACAATGTTCATCTCAAAACCGAACGAGATAACTATTTGTTGAAACTTATGATACCATTGACGAGGAGCTTGCTTGAGTCCATAGATGGATTTCCTTAATTTGCAAACCATATTCTTTGGGTCTCCTGACACAAAGTTTTCTGGTTGCACCATATAAATCATCTCATCAATGTCTCCAAATACAGTCTTAACATCCATCTGATGTAACTCAAGATCATAATGAGCAACAAGTGCCATGATTGTTCTGAAAGAGTCTTTCGATGAAACCGGAGAGAAAGTCTCTGTATAATCAATACATTCCTTTTGAGTAAAGCCTTTAGCTACAAGATGTGCCTTATACCTCTCCACATTACCCTTTGCATCCCGCTTGGTTTTAAAAATCCATTTACAACCAATTGGTTTTGCACCTTCTGGTAATAGGACAAGTTCTCAAACCTTATTGTCTTGTATAGACTTGTACTCTTCATTCATGGCATTAATCCACTGTTGAGAGTTAGAACTTTTCATGGCCTGGAGGAAGTTGATTGGATCATCTTCTAACATTCCACTACTCTCCTCATGTTCTTGGAGAAATATAATAAAATCATCTGGAATAGCATTTCTCCTTTCTCTCGTGGATCTCCTTAATGGCACTGGTGGTTCTTGAGGTTGTTGAGTTTGTTCTTCTGGAACAGAGAATTGTTCAACATTGTCATCTTGAGGTTCTGGTTTTACTTCTTGAGCAACAACAGGTATAGGAACCTGAATATTATCAAAAGTAACTGTATGGATTGGATCTGAAGCCAATTCCTCCTCAAAACTAATGTCTCTAACCTTATTTCTCCCCCCAAACTCAACATCCTCAAAGAATGTTGCTGTTCCCGTCTCAAAAATATTCCTTATAGTGGGATCATAAAACTTATAGCCCCTAGAGCGATCAGGGTACCCAATAAAGTAGCTGCTAACTGTTTTGGAGTCCAATTTCTTTTCATTTGGCCTATAAGGCCTTGCCTCAGCTGGACATCCCCAAATATGTAAATGCTTTAAAATGGGCTTTCGACCAGTTCAAAGCTCATAAGGTGTTTTAGCAACTGCTTTACTTGGTACTCTATTCAGAATGTAAGCTGCTGTCTTTAGTGCTTCTCCCCAGAGAGACTCTGGTAAAAAAGAATGAGCAATCATACTTCTTACCATATCCTTAAGAGTCGTGTTTCTTCTTTCAGCTACACCATTCATGCTAGGTGAACCCGACATGGTGTACTGTGGGACAATACCGCATTCCTCTAGGTATCTAGCAAATGGTCCTGAACATTGTTCACCTGAACCATCATATCTGCCGTAGTACTCACCACCACGATCAGATCTAACTGTTTTAATTCTTTTGTTGAGTTGATTCTCAACTTCAGCTTTAAAAACTTTGAACATGTCCAGAGACTCAGATTTCTCATGAATGAGATATATGTACCCATAACGTGAGTAATCGTCTATGAATGATATAAAATATTATTGACCATTCCAAGATGCCGTAGGGAATGGCCCACAAATATCCGTATGTATCAATTCTAAGATATCCGAAGATCTATTGGCACCTAATCTCTTTACTTTGGTCTGTTTTCCCTGTAGGCATATAAAATTGCTTATAGGTCCTTTAGCTCAGCTCGGCACAAACCGACGAACCAACGAG